TGGTGTTGTCCTGAAGGGTATCCTGGATCAGGGTGGGGTCCCGCTGAAGGTTTGGCCAGCCTGGGTGATGGGCTGATGGCTGTTTTCAGGCTGGCCACACCCCCTTTAGGGTGGGGGGTCCCCATTGGGGTGCCTGGCCAGTCTGGGTGAGGGGTGAGGGCCGTTTTCAGGCTGGCCAAGCTTGCCCCCTCCCGCCCCCCCCAGCGATGGAAGCTCCCAGCTTCTCCTTTTTTTCTTTTTTTTTATTCTGGGATTTATTTACCTTCTATAATTGAAACTTTGTAGCCTTGAGAGGAGCTCAGAGCTGGCCAGGGCAGGCAAGAGGGGAGCTTGGCTTCCTTCATCACCAGGGGCAACCCAAGCCTCCTGCTTGCTCCAGCTCTGTGGCCACGTGGCCACGGCCGGCTAACGCAGGTAACTGGGGTTTATTTATCTTTTATAATTGAAACTTTGTTGCTTTGAGTGGAGCTCAGAGCCGGCCGTGGCAGGCGGGAAGCTTGGCTTCCTCCATCATTGGGGCAACCAAGCCTCCCACTCGCTCCAATTCCATGGCTACCAGCCACCATCTTGGTTGGGTTAATTTGCATATAGTCGCTCTGATCGGTTGGTGGGCATGGCTTAAGGCATAGTGAAGGTACGGTCAATTTGCATGTTTGTTTTATTAGTGTAGATTATTTTTCTAGTAATTCATTGTTGTTGGATTCAATAAAAGTATTGGCTTCAGCAGATTAGAAATTTAACAAAACAAAACAAATATATTTTCTCACCACAGGTGTTAGAGGTTTAAGAAGCACAGCCACAAACACACCCCCTGACCCACCTGGGACCCCAGCCTCACCCCCTCTGACCATTTTGTTACTCGAAACATGCTGTTCCCTTTCCCGGGGTTCCCTTCCATAGCACACCCTCCAATTACAGAAGTTGTCAACCAGTGTCCACAGCAGGCACCCTGGTGGTGCCCAAGAATTTCTAAAACACCCAACACCTGACTATTTAGTCAGAGCACTGACCTCTTTTCCTTTAGATGGTCAAATAAATACAATGACAGCAGCCAATGCAATAGCCATCCTGTGTGAATGGATCAAAATTGTACCAATTTTTTTAACTGATCAGCAAAAAATATAACAGATTTTTTGTTGTGCCACAGAATTTTGGTACTTAAGTTATGTGTGCCATGAGATGAAGAAGTTTGGAAATCGCTGTCCTATTCTATTAAACCTGGACCTGTCCCAACCAGCTTTCTAAGTGCTATTCCAGGCTGCAAAATTCCACTCATTTATTCAATCATGAAATGTTCACAAGAGGCTCACTATAAATTCTATATAGATTTAAAAATATATATATTTTATTGATTTTTTACAGAGAGGAAGGGAGAGAGATAGTTAGAAACATCGATGACAGAGAAACATTGACCAGCTGCCTCCTGCACACCTCCTCCTGGGGATGTGCCCACAGCCAAGGTACATGCCCTTGACCGGAATCAAACCTGGGATCTTTCAGTCCACAGGCCGACACTCTATCCACTGAGCCAA